TGGGGATGAAGGATGGAGCGAGGACTCAATAGTGCGGGAAGATAAGGGCTTTATTAATAAAATAAAACAAAACAGACAACAAAAACTACCCCGTGGGGGAAAAACAGGCTGGCAAGGCTAGGCAAGGCAGGATCTCGACACAACACGACAAGACAGGACACATCCAGGGAGATAGGGTGACGAACCAACCCAGGACTGCAAACACAGGGAGAATAAATGGAGAAAACTCCACAAATCCCCCAAACGTCAGGTGGTCCAGCCCCCTCATTCTCCACCAATTGAGGGGCTCATCAATGGCGTAATTAAAGAGGTCCTTGAGGGCCGGATCATTAAACCCCAACCCCTCTGCAGCACCGCTGAACTCCAGGGCAAAATTCCTCACGTCAGCCCCCTGTTGACGGAGGGAGCTCAAGGTCTTAAATTGGAGCATGCGCTGGTAGTGGGGGCTGGAGAGAGTGGAGGCTGGTGGACGGCGCAAGCCCTTCCTCCGCTGAGTCCTCATCTTTGGTCAGTAAATATAAATGACATAAATATACTCAGAACACACATATATTATGTACAAACTATTATTTTGAATGCGATTAATCGATTTGACAGCACTAAATTATTTACATCTCCATATCAGTGTATGCCACATTATGCAAAGAATATTTAGGTATGTTCTCATTAAATAGTGGTGTGATGTTAATGAATATAATGGGTTTTGTGTGAGCAGGTGTGAGATCGAGGCGACTCTAGAGCGTCTGAAGCGGCTGGAGAGAGATCTGAGCACCAAAGAGCAAGAGCTGAAAGAAAGAGAGAGACGGCTAAAGATGTGGGAGAGAAAGCTCATCGAGCAGTCCAACACACCGGTGAGTCTCTGTCTGTCTCTTACTGCAGCTCACGGAGGGCTTGACTCATCGCTCTAACATAAAGTCAATCTGAATCACTTCTGTCATGCTTTAGGGGCCGTTCACATATCGCATCTTTTGTGCGCTCAAGTTCGTTATTTCAAATTGTGCACATGCTAATTTTTTCCAGGCGCATCCGCGCCGCATCGAGATAAAAACATTTCAGCTTTTCAGAATGCCGCAAGCACACCGCGGGTCATGTGACAAGAACCAACCAATCAGCTTCATCTTTCCCGTAACAACATTGAAAGCTCAGCCAAGATGAAAGAACAGCTGATCATAGCTGTACAGGGATAGCTATTTTTAAATAAATTTAGTAGCAGAGCTACTGCAAGCAATTTTTAGTGCTGCAAATCCATTTATCCTTTGCTGAAACTTCCGCATCTTCATGGAGAGCGCAAGTCATGGTTGCTTAGCAACGACAGAGGCCTCCGGAGCGCGAGCTCCCGAACACTTTGGAAAAAAAGCAGAAAGCGGCGCACCTAGCGTTTTCCACGCGTTTTTATGCACGACATGTGAACGGCCCCTTACTCTCATGTTTTCCAAGACCTTCTATTTCTCTAATAGACCATATAAGGAGATGTTTTGAAGAATATTCACACTCTTGTGTATATCTTTTAAAATATTCATGCTCTTTTCCATACTATGAAAGCAGCTGGCAAAGGACTGTCAAGCTTCAAAAAGAACAACAACCAAAAAGTGTCATAATCCTTGTGAAAAAGAAGTACACTTTAGCATACATTTTTAAACCGAGTGCTTATTACTGAAATAATAAAATTTAAAAGAATATACGGTTACACTTTATTTTAAGGTGTCCTTGTTACAGTGTAATTATACATTTAAGTACTGAGTAATATTAATTAACTACATGTGCTTACTATATGGTTAGGGTTAGGATGAGGGTTTGGTTTAGGGTTAGTTGCATGTAATTATGCATAATTTATTGTTATTAAAATAGTAAGTACATGTAACATGTGTAACAAGGACACCTTTAAAATTAAGTGTTACCGAAAATACTTAAGTGCAAACTGAATGTTTAATTGCATGTTAATTGCGATAAAAGGAAAACATTTTGGTAACACTTTATTTTAAAAGTGTCCTTGTTACACGTTACATGTACTTACTATTATAATAACATTAAATTATGCATAATTACATGCAAGTAACTAGGGATGCACGATATTATCGGACCAATATCGGAATCGGCCGATAATGGCTTTAAATGTAAATATCGGCATCGGCCCGATATGAAAAATTATGCCGATATGTCTTTCTGATAAGAGGAATATATTAACTCGCATGTGCTCAGGGTGTGCTAGCGATGAGATCACGTCAACAGTGCAATTATATCATGTCAGCATTGTGGCTCATTCTTTGAGCAAAGTTTTGCCTGAATGGTGATTGGATTCACTGTTTTGGATCACTGCATTTAAACTGAGAATGCAAGTACAGAATGACCCGTTCAGTGTGTGATAGAGTAAACAGTAATAGCACGTGCAGCGGCAGTCTCCCCCGGGTCCTAATGCCATCATGACATGACACCTACATAATCATGACATGTGTCATGTCATGATTATGAAGGTGTCATGGCAGTCTTATGCACACCCCTTCAAGTAAAGTGTTACCAATAAGTTCTTGTTAAAAACTAACCAAAATTTTAAATAATTATATATCGGTATCGGCATCGGCTATCAGCCAAAATGAGTTGAAAATTATCGGCATTCGGATATCGGCAAAAATCCAATATCGTGCAACCCTATTACACATGTTACATGTACTTACTATTATAATAACAATAAATTATGCATAATTACATGCAAGTAACCCTAACCCTAACCATATAGTAAGTACATGTAGTTAATTAATATTACTCAGTACTTAAATGTATAATTACACTGTAACAAGGACACCTTAAAATAAAGTGTAACCAAAATTATTATTTTTAAACTTTGTAATAAATAAATAAATAGCTGAACAAATTGCTGAATTTCATTAGTTCTATTGTCTTTGAAATATGGTTAAAGTACTGCTGAACGTACTGACAAGCCTTTATGATAAACTAAAATGTACTTAAATGTATTTTAAATATATTTGTAATTAATTAGATAAGTAATGATGATGGTGGAGTGATGGTATTTAAAATAATATTAACTTTAAATGTAATAATGAATAACACTACAGTTAATATTATAATCACATACTTTGCTTTAGCAACTCATAAAGATAAGTGTACCTCTTTACAGTAAAATATGACAAAAGATTAAAACGTACTTTAAAGTAAAACTTAATTTGACATTATTACAAAGTGAATTTAAAAGTGTACTTAAGTGTGTTAAGAAACATGAAAGCGAACTCACTTTAAGTACACTTAAGTTTCCCTTTTATTTCATTTTGATTATATGCGAGTACAGTTTTTTTCTAAACAGACTTTTAAGATTTCACTATAAGTGTAACGGAGGGAATACAGGAAGCGTGCGGATCCATCTGCAAGGCGACTCAAGGGATAATCCAGGTCCACAGGCAGTGATCAGAACACGGGGAAACAGACAAGGCAAGACGATGAAAACAAGGAAAACAAGACACTAGGCTCGGTAATGCAGCTATCGCTAGATGAGTGATAAACGCAGAACAATACACGAGACTAAAACAGAAAACACGGAATGGCTCGGTAAGGCAGCTAACAACACTAGGGGAGTGGAAAATGCAGAACAATACTCGGCAATCTGAACAGGAACTGAGAGAGTGTTAAATAGAGTGTGTAATGGCTCTCAGGTGAGCGTGTGATAGTGATGGCTGTGTGATCAGTGAATTCAGCTGTGTAAGTGCAATGGATGATGGGAACTGTAGTCCGGAGTGACATGTAACAGTCTGTGTAGTGTGAGAGTCAATGTAATGGTAGAGTGACCTCTAGTGGCAATCGGCCGGAAGGCCAAGGACCGGATTCGTGACAACAAGTACACATTCAAAACAATTAAGCACACTTCTTTTTCACAAGAAAAAAAATGTGCATGGGTCAAAGACATTAAGATGTCCACATCAAAATAAATTTACAAAAGTGATTTTATGTCCATAGAAAGCACATTAAATGTAAGTGTCTACTTTTAAGGTTTCAAATTAGTTTTCGGAGAATAAAATGTCAAAATTTGGTTGAAATAATGTTAAATTGTCATTCAGTGTAACACAATATTTATGTAAAAATTCAAACAACATGCTTATTCTAACGTGTACATATTAAAATATATAAAAGAATAAAGGAGCATATTAAATTTGATTGTGTTTTAAATGAGTAAAGAATTCTTTCTGGTTTAGTCGTGCAGTGAAACACTGCATCCCATGATGCTCAGCTGAGCATCATGGGATGCAGTGTTTCACTGCACGACTAAACCAGACTTCAGCTGCAGCAGATCCTTTATATCTATGCATTTGGCAGATGCTTTTATACCAAGTGACTTATATTGCATTGAAGATATACATTTTGTCAGATTATCCATTCCGCACACTTGACGTGCGATTGCTGTGCTTTACTGTTTGAGCTACAGGAACGCTGTACGTATAAACAACAAACATGCCAGCAGAAACATTATTAGCTTGTTTTATGAGTATTTAGAGCACATCTTTTGATTGGCTGTGTCTTCAGCTGTACGCTTTACACTCATCTCTGCCTTCTGAATCACCGTTCAAATCTTGTTTATGTTACTGATTTCTTTCGCTTAATTTTTTTTTCTTTTTCTGTGTTTGTCCTTTTTTCATTTTTTATATTCTCTGTCTGTTTCCATCTGTCCTCATCTTCTCAGTTCTTTCTTCCTCTGGCGGCAGCGTTAAGCTCAGAGTTGTTTTTTGACTCGAGTGTGGAGAAGGACTTGAGTTCAGATGGAGAGCTGCAGGCCATGATGAGGGAGTTTGATCGGATGTTTCCTCTGGACCCACAGGCCAATCTCAATAAAAAAAAATCTCATATATTACTACAGTGTTACTTGACACATCTGTAATATTGCTGCAGAATAATCAAACGTTATGGGTTATTCATGGCATGTTAAAATCGAGTGTGGAGAAGGACTTGAGTTCAGATGGAGAGCTGCAGGCCATGATGAGGGAGTTTGATCGGATGTTTCCTCTGGACCCACAGGCCAATCTCAATTAAAAAAAATCTCATATATTACTACAGTGTTACTTGACACATCTGTAATATTGCTGCAGAATAATCAAACTTTATGGGTTATTCATGGCATGTTAAAAGTAATTTGTTCATGCTTTTACAGTTTTACTTTTACTGTTGGAAGAATGTTTAAGGATGAGTAGATTAATGTGACCGTATTGTGCCCAGTTTTTGAAAATGCTTTGTTCATTGAGCAAAACTTTTGCTGATTGTTTACAGTTTAACGGAAGTTTCTCCCCCTAATTTGCGCAAAGCGTCATTGGGCATAAAGGTGGATGGTGTGGTTCAAATGAATTTCTGAAATTATTTGAGAATGTGTAATTATGCTCTTAATAAGGATAGCTCTTTATTAAGCACTTATGTTGAAAACATTTTAATTTAAAAATATACCCTAACGTTCAACATTTTGGACACATCTACATCAATTTATTTGACTAATCATAAGGGAATTCATCAAAACACAAACTGATGTAACAAATTGAATTACAAATGCTTATAAACAGTGTATTCAGGTAAGTTGCTCACTCTCTTCTATTTGATATCAATTTCAACAAATTTATTCCATCATATAAAAGAACGTTTTAGTGTTCGTAAAGAAAGGCGTAGTTTATTCGTAGACTGTAAAAAAAGATGGACGGATGGATGGTCTCCTATTCCTTCCACTATAGACAAGTGAAGCCAAAGCATCTCAGTATGGCCGCTGCCATCTTGAGTAAATGATGTAATTTGGAGCGCCCGAGTCTGCGCAGGAGAGATTTGTTCATTTGGAGCCCGAGTCTGCGTAGTAGAGATTTGTTTGTTTGGAGCCCGAGTCTGCGTAGTAGAGATTTTTTTGTTTGGAGCCAGAGTCTGCGCAGTAGAGATTTGTTCGTTTGGAGCCAGAGTCTGCGCAGTAGAGATTTGTTCGTTTGGAGCCCGAGTCTGCGTAGTAGAGATTTGTTTGTTTGGAGCCCGAGTCTGCGTAGTAGAGATTTGAGTCTGCGCAGTAGTGTCGTGAGGTGGAGCCGTGGTATCAAACTCCCGCCCAAACACCCGCAGACCCAATCAACCATAACGACAAGCCCCATTTTTATAGCATCAAATTACTAGCTGAAATCAAACTGATCACAAAAATGAACAATTTAACATGTATCAGCGTGATAACAACTACCTTAAATGACCAAAACCATCTTTCGGATAGCTGGGCCAGTGTGTGCTGTGATTGGCTAGCTGGGCCAGTGTGTGCTGTGATTGGTTAGCTGGGCCAGTGTGTGCTGTGATTGGTTAGCTGGGCCAGTGTGTGCTGTGATTGGCTAGCTGGGCCATTGTGTGCTGTGATTGGCTAGCTGGGCCAGTGTGTGTTGTGATTGTCTAGCTGGGCCAGTGTGTGCTGTGATTGGCTAGCTGGGCCAGTGTGTGCTGTGATTGGTTAGCTGGGCCAGTGGGTCTTGAGATTGGTTAGCTGGGCCAGTGTGTGTTATGACTGGCAGCACTCGGTGCCTGGTCGGGAAATGTCACGCCCCTTACCATAGCTGCCTGCGAGCTTCAGTGTAAATATTGC